TGCAGCAATCTTATGAAATTCTGTAGAATTTCTGAATTGTATAGAAAAAGATTCCTCAAATAGTCACACACCTTGTGTAGTGGTAATGCAACTGGCCACACAACTTGGGTAGCAGGCTTAAATACAAGAACAGTGTTCTTGTCACTGTGCTGTACCAAGGACATCATCTTTGTTCGTCCCCCTAAAATGGCGGAGACCAATTTTTCCATCTTTTAGGACAACATACGGAGCTCCTTTTTGTCTCCCCAAAGCATAGGTGACAATTCATCGAAGCTGATGACTGTATCCCACCCTCCCTCACCACCCCCTCAAACCTACAGGTTTATTTTTAATAGAACAAAATCACCGGCTTTGTTTAGTTTTACACAAGCCCAAATAATTGGCAAATGCGCTAATTAAGACTGGACATTGCATTTCTCTCTCCTCAATTTAGACTGTATTTGTTATGTTTGTGTTTACTGTATATATAAATTTGGGCAACTGATCTGTTCTCCACTGTACGTTGAACTTACCTAGAAGTTTCCTTCCAACTCTCACTGATTCCGCCCTGTCAAAATAGCTTCACTCTAGCAACTTTTAAACTAGCCTTTTTTTCTTGCCTAAAGGGTTACTGTTTGGATATTATTTCTTTCACTGTGCATCACCTGGTTTGATAATATTTGATGACCTAAGAAAGGTTTTGTTGGGATATAATATGAAAATTGTCCTCAGAGTTGTTTGAATGATGGACTTCAGAAAGGAAAGCATGAAGAACATGAATGAACAGCTGTTTTGTAATTTTAGGGGACTTAATTCTTAACTTTGTCATAGTGAGGCATGTAAAATCTAACATTCGGTATTTTGCCATTGTACAAAGAAGTTGAGTTGATTTGTGTGATAGTGGATCGCTGAAGCTTACCACAGGAAACTCGAGAGCAGGTGAGATTACCCTTGGATGGATTTCTTGGAGCAGGATTTGGAGGAATTTTTGTACACATGTACTAGTAATATGGGAAAGAACTGAAACAGTGTACAGAACTTATTTTAGAGAAGAAATCCTAGTTTAATTATATCTTGCAGAATACAGTGTAGGTGAATGGAATAAGCATAATATACGTAACGATGGGAAGGGTAAGATACCCTGCTTGATTTATAAGCATTAATCCTGTCCAGACATGGAAGATGGTTGATTTCTCTCTAAAGACAGGAGAGTAGTGACAGAGCTTAATTCTAAGTAGTGCTTGGCACATACATTTTCCAGTGATTATAATGGGCCTGTGCAGGCTCAGCATTTGTCAGAGATCAGACCTTAAAAGCCCTCCTGTGAGCCACATCTGCGGTCCGATATTTGAGCAAGCTTATTAATACGTTTTGTGAATTATAGTATGTGTTTAATAGGAATTGTACAACATTAATTGGTGAACAGCAGATTTATTCCAACAGCAGGACTGATATTATAAGTCATCATTAGGTAGCTTGGCATTTCTGCAGTGAATAGTTCCAGTAATCCATACTAATCGGTTCTTCGCTCTCCACAGGTGATTTACAGATATATGGATAAATCAGAAGAAAGAGGCAGCTCAGGCCACAAAAGGTTCCTGCAGTGAGCACGCACAGGAATCGGTTGCCTTGCTGCTAAAACGAGGAGCAGATGTTGTCATGCCCCTCTGCTCCCCTGAAAACGTCTTTGGTTTTGGGGGGGGGGTTTAACTTCAGAAGATGGCTAAAGAACGTAGTTAAGAAAAAGAGGGTGGCTCTGTCAGCCCTTTAAAGTCCATCTGCTTTGTAGGGCTTGTCCTAGGAGTCTGACGTGATTGGTTTTAGATCTCTGGTCCAGCACCGCAGTCTAGTAGCATGTGTTTCTATTCTCTCTCATATGAACAGTAGCTTCCTTCATCTCTTTTAATTACTGGTAGGATTTAAAAGAAGAAAGTTGTGTCTGATTTCCTTGTAATCACATCCCTGGCCAGCACTGCCTGGGATGTTTTGCCTTTGTACTCAGAGATTTGCAGCTACTGCGCAGTGTCGGTGATTTATCCCTTGTGCCACTTGGGACTGGTGTTGTCAGACCCTGTGCAGGTCTGTTGCTCTCTGCACTTTGTAAGAAGAAGGAGGAGTCCAAAATAAAGAACACAGTGCTGAGCTAAAGTCAGTGAGCCTTTGTGTCCGAAAGAGAAATTTAAGTTTTTTTCTGGAAACTTAGGGAACAGTAGAAGTGCCAGGGTCAAAGATGTGACAATTCTTCCCTGAAGAGCTGTGATGCTGTAGATGTGCCCTTCGTGTGTGAGGACAGATTCATGGATTTTTCTGCTTTGTAGAAGAGAAGGATTTTTTGTTCGGGGGTGTTTTTCTGGCTCCCAGCAAAATGGAAGGTGGTTTTTCTCACTGTTGTCTCACTGGAAAAAAAGAATTTGTATCTTGGAAGCAGGTGGTGCTAATCTTGTAACATTCATTAAGAAAAATGATGAGGATCCTCCTTATTTAAGAGAGAATTTTGCTATTACTACGTGGTTTTAAAAATTTCACCTTGAGAGGCAGCATCTCTGCCTGACCCACCAAAAAGGAACCTGGAATCCTTTCTAAAGAAAACATTAGGTTCCAGGAAAAAAAAAGTAATTTTTGGTGGTGTTTTTTAAATGCTTCTTAAGTTAACAGCTCTCCTTACAGGGTTTCAAGAGCTCTCTCTCTAGCCTCATCAGATAACTAAAGAAAGAAATCCCTAGTTAACCTGTGTCCTTTTTTCCCTTCTGGTCAAAAAGAGTATCTTTCAGTAATGCTCTTGACAGAGTGTTGTGGGGTTTTTTTTATTTAATCCTTTCCTTCTTTTTCAGAATACATCTCTTCCATCCCACACCCCAAAAAATTAAAATTAGTTTACTTCAACTCAAAGAATGAAAATGCTTTAATGAAGGATCAGGGTAGGTTTGTTGATCCATCTTCGAGTGAAACTATTAGAAGATCCGCAAATATTAGTCAGTGGTCCTTCAGATATCTAAATTCTATTTTTTTTTGCTTTTTATTGCATCTATTAAGTATCTTTAAGATCATTTCTTCAACACAGTAACTCTTACTATTTAATAATAACTGATTTCTTCCTTCCTTTCTTGATACTATGTAGCATTTGTTGATCCTCAGTTTGAGGAATTGTCTCATTTTAGTAGCTGTCCTTGTTGGTTCTTCACAGATGTTATGTTCCTCATGTATTCCCACAGGTGATTTTTGTGTCCCTTTTATCAGGTAGGTTAATACAATTTCTCGCAGATTTTTTTTTCGGTAGTGTTAAAACAGTCTAGAGTCTTAAGAGTGTCGGCTCTGTTTTGGGGATTACGGAATATTTTCTGTCATTTTGTAAGAGCTGTAGCATAGAAAGCACAGAAGACTCTTCTTTATGCCTGCTGCAACATCTTACTGAAAACAGAAAACGCTCCAGCTTACAGATTATTTAGTCATCTGTAAGAGTCTCCCTGAGTCTGCTACTTGCCAAGCAGTGTTTTTAAGAATTCTGATATAGCAGCAGCTGCTTTTTCCTACAGAATTTTGCTGTATGTACACAAGCGGAGGAGAGAATGTGGACTGTTTATCAGAGCCTCAGTTCGGACAGTGTGGTTTTCATCATTGGGACTTACCAAAATGACCAAGGAGGTCTAGAAGTAGGTGAAGTTAAACCCTAACCGAACACGTCTGTGCTCATGTGGTGTGGAACCCAAAGTGGGAGCTCCCTATTTCAAGTGCCAAGAAGACCCTCAGCTATGTCTCACCCTGCTTTTTTCTAAAAGAATTGTTCTGTCGTGGTCACACAGACAGGTATAGATGGAAACCTTTTGGGGGAGGGACTCCTACGCACAAAGCAACGGAAATACTCTGTGTCGGCAGCTGGGGAACAAAAGCAGCTTGCCCTGAACTATTCATTCATGTATTAGGGGCATTAGCTTAGCTCAGCAACCGTCAGTATTCCAGCAGATACTCCTCCTACCAAAACTGGAGTCTGGAATGCGACGCTAGTGGAAGTTTGAAGGACTGTTGGAGTTGCTGCCTGGGGAACTCTGTGCTTGAACTTCTTTTACACCATTATTCTTGCTTGACAAAACTATTGTGAAAACTCTGAATTGTCAAGAGGCTTCTGTTTGTGCCGCTGACTGTGACCCTTGGGATGGGAGATTACTGGACTTACTTTTTTTTTTTCCCTTAGTGATTTGTTCTTCTTCCTTTCAGTAATCAAAGCAAGGGGAAGGAAACTCTTAACTTTCTCTCACAGCAACTTGTACCACTAAGAATAATGCTCTCTCTTCAGAGACATACTGTGTATATGTTGTATAAATATGGGTAGTGCTCAGAGAGGTGCTTTCTGGGCAAGTGCTTTCGTTGCAGATTTTTCTCTGGATCATTATAGCTTATAGTGGATAAATCACAGCAGTTTGAGCCTTATCTCAAACAGATTTTTTAAAAAACCTCTAAATCCCTTATAAATGGTGCCTAATTTACCCTAATTTGTGCACACTATGAGCAGGCTTTTATTTTGTCAGACCATGATTCTAAGTGCTCAGCTTTCTGCTATATTGTTCCTACAAAAATTTCACACGGTGCTTTACAAACAGATGAGGTATTCTCTCTCTCCCTTCATAAATCATACCTGACTAATATACTTTGTTAGACCATGTACAGAGTTGAAAAGTAATTGAGAAGCTCTTGGGCACAGAAACACATTCTCAGGTCTGAAATGCCAGAGTTTTACTCGAGCTTTGGGACACGCAAGGTCCCCTCCAAATCTGATCATCCGATCTATTAATTAGTCTAGTAAAAGATTTTTATCTCTTGCAAGCCTTGCCCTGGCTCTGTCTTCATTTGTAGACCATCATATCTGCAGCAAATTACTGATGCTTATTTCTCATGCAGTTGTTACTCTTATGTGCAGCAGTTTACACAGCGTGTAGCAAGTATTTAGCCTACGGTTGTTAAACATTTATTCAAAAGTATTATTAAAAATTTATTCAGTTTCTCACTTTTTACACTTTTCTTCTGCAGGGCCTGTCCTTTATATGTTGCCAGTCCCAAACACAGGGTGCCTATTTAAATCAACTGCTTGGGAGCATTATTCGACAGTATTTTGGGCGATTTCTCCCTTCTTCTCCGACTGCGCTTGGAGCCGGACAGCATCCCATGCTGACTGCTTTGTGCAGCTCCATTACAGCCCCCCAGGTGCTACGTCTACGGAAGACCACTCTGCATGTCATAAAGTAAGGACTAGTGAAGTAAAAAAAAAAAACAAACAAACCCCATCACTTATTCAGGTTTCACAAACAGCTAATGAGAAAGTGAATGCCACTGCTTTCTTCTCAGTAACTGACAGTTTGGCTGTGGGAAGAGCCTGTACGTTGCTGGGCAGGGAGCAAGGGAAGGACAATGTGTGTAGAGCAGGAGAGTAAAACTGGGAAGATCTGGAGACTAGAGAGAGAGTCACTGGGAGTGGAGGTCCTGGATTATAAGAAAAAATATTGCATGGGGCCACATGAAAAGCAAGTATTTTTCTAGAAAACCTGCGCTCCAATATATATCATCATATGTTTGTGTCTCAGGCTGTGTTTAGGGTCACAGAGTCGTCATGCTTACGGTTGCCGCAGTTACCTGCGCATGGGAGCCCTCGTTGCCCAAGAAGTGTCAGGGTATATGGAGGTGCGCCAGCCACCCAAGGGAAGTGGGAAATCTGGGGTGTGGGAAGAGGGAAACGTAGGGGCAAGAAGAGGGTACACGTTCACTGTGCTGTCACTGCCTGCGCGATGGCGACAGCAGCTGTAAATGCTGGGTCTCTGCTCCTGAAAGGCCAAAGCTTTGTGTTATGTGCTGCAGAACAGGGAACAGTGGGTACTTCTCGTCTGTGTTGGGGGAGGAGTTAAACCCCCTCAAATATAAGGGGATTTGTTATATTCAAGGTAATTGTACTTTTCTGTGTTAAAGAGCGTGTGTACATGTTGATTAAGAGAATTTTAGTATTGATTTTAGGTGCATATTATAGGCAAGACTGTAAGTAAAGCCTGTATTATCACATACTGAAGGAGTGAATTAAGATTTCTGAGTCTTATTTCTGACATGTTTTTAACTTATGAATCCTCAAGCTGTATCATCTTAAAGTTATTTGTGAATGTGTGCATGCCTGTGTGAATTTTAAGACTGACAGTGGAAAGTAAGTTCTGAAAGTGTAGTGGCACTTGGTGACTTGTTCCTTAGTGATCTGGGAATAATGTCTTAGAACTGAGCAGCGGTCTGATTTACAGGCTGTTGGGTGGTCAGCAGGCAGTCAGTAGGTCTGTACATAAATATGTACAGAGTTTGCTGGCTGTTTTGATGCCTGAAAGGTGGTGAGTATCTTGCTGCTGCGCAGAGGAATTTGAACCACGTGGTCAGGGGTATTTTCCAGGTCAGAGAGACGTTTTAGTGGAAGAGCACCCAAAAAAAAAAAAAAAAATCAGTGTGAAATTTTCACTGTAAATTAATGGGGCAGAAGATTTCAGAGTTGCTGATATGAAAGTGTGTAAGACCACACGATATAATGCACATAGAAGTGTTGCAACTTTCATTAGGCAAGTTATACCAGAGCTCTGAAGCTGTGCAATGAAATACTCAGATGTCTGAAAGTCAGGTTTCATTTGAAAGCACACCTTAGTAAGTGTTTAATTGATGCATTGCTCAGTAAACATGCATGCCTTTTTTGGGTAGCTAATGGTACCTAATATTAAATACCTAGGAAATTATTTTGCAGCTTTCGAGAGTGCTCTTGCTAACTGATGAATAAATCCTGTGTTCTTTTTACCTGCACTTTTCTGTCCTGAATGCTTCAACTTGAACTTACTGTCTTCAGAGTTCACTAAAGTCATTTGTAATGTCAAATTAACAGTAGTTCAGATTGTTGTATCCTTTTGCGGAAAAATAACAAACCAAGCCGTTCAAATTGGAACACTCGGTGTGCGTGATGTCAAAATTTGCTCTTGCAGATTGATGGGTCAACGTTTATCTTTGTGGCAAATTTTATACTGGACATGATTGTGTTAATTGTGATGGAGCAAAAGCAGACATTGGCTGTCCCGTTACAACACACTGTTGGCAAAAATAAAATAACAGTACCAGTATAAGAGCAGAGCTGTTCTGACAAGTTGGATTGTGAGTTGATAAAAGCACATAAAGCTTAATAAAGTAATTGAAAAACAGTTGTATTTTGGATGTTGGTTTAGGATCTTAGAATCTTTATTCCTCTGGTTTTTTCAGTTATTTTATGAAGATGCCTTTATATTTCAACTTTTATAGTCACCCTTGGCTTTTTAACTAGAATTATGATAGCTGCTATTTCTCACTTCCCTCAGCAGAAGAGTCAGAAGGCATCACTGTCCTCTGATAAATTGTGAGTCTTTTCTAAGACTAAGACAAATAGAAGCCATTAGTTGAGCCTAGATAAAGATAGAAATCTATGTAATAGGCCTACTGCTGAAATATCACAAAGTTATTTTAAGGTGTATAGTGCTTGCATTGAATGGAAAAAAAGAAATTATAGCCTCTGTTTTGGTTTGCTTTGTCTTTGCAGTGAGAACTACCTGCAATTCAAAGGTACCGCTCCACCTCCGCGCTTGGCCTCCGTTCTTGCTTTCGTTCTGGAAGTGCTTCAGAGAACCCAGAGCACTGAACTGTGCGACATCGACTTAGTTCTCCCGGCCGTGCTGAAATGCTTGGTGTTGGTTAACGAGCCGCAAGGTGAGCTGTTGGTTTGCTTTAAATGCATCTCTGCACACCTGTAAGATTTTGTACTGCTGAGCATCTTTCATCCCAATATTTAGGACTCTCAGGTGGGGTGAATGAGATACTTTGGCCACATAAACTAGAGAAGCTTTCTTTTTTCATTAACTGGTCTGGGACTTCTGTCTGCAAGAGGCAGAGAAGTCCTGCCTCGTTTCGCTCTCTAATGAACTCTGATGATCTCGGGAATCTGAAGAGCGTTTTCTTTCTCCCCATCCTTCCCATCTCATGTCTCCTACACTTGATAACTGTGGAAGTTTTCTTGCACCTAAAGGTTTGAGACCAAATAAGACTAGTGTATGTTCTCCCCATAGAGGCATTATCAATGGATTAAAAGTAGTATGCTGCTCTCTGAAGGCATCTTTGAGCCTTCTTTCTTCTTTTACCATGCTTTGTTTTGTAGTGAGGACTTCTTTATTTTTAGATTCTTAAAAGATGAAGCACTCTGTTCACCCACAGTTGTATAATGAATGTGCATATGTGCATAAGCTCAAAATTTCCCCTTCTTGCTGCCAGTAGAGGCATGAAGCAAAATGGGGATTCGCCTCTGACTTCTCCTGGGCATTTTGTCTAATAAAGTTCTTCTCAGTTCTGGTCTATAAAAGTTTCAAGGACAAGATACGCTTTGGAAATCAGCTGAATCATCGCGCACCTTTCTTCTCCCTTTTGCCATCATAGCCATATCTGCCTGAGGCTGAGAGCAGCTCCTTTGCCATGTGCTGCGCAGTGGAGCGCGCTGAATGTCTGGTGCTGCTGTGGCCACCAGCTCACTGCCTGCGCAGGTGGGGCTCCACCACACCCTTCTAGAGAAGCCCAGTTCCTTGCAGCCCAGTTCAACCTTTAGAAAGGAAGAGCTGTATCTTCCATCTTGAATGTTTATTCGGAAAGTAAGGGGAAGAAAACAGTGGGGTTTTGTGGGAGTTTTTTCCCTTTAAAAAAAAGAAGTGGGGTGGAATTCAGAACAGTACCCACCACTGAAAGTGAGGAGTAGATCTGTATAGCTTTGGGCAGGATATAATGCCATGACTGCTTTTCTTTAATTCAAATAGGAATGATTAAACAATACAGAACTTAAAATCTCTATTTCCGTTAAGTATGTGTCTCTTTGCTTTGACTTAAAGAGACCATAGTGTACTTAAAAATCTGTGCGTTCAAAGGATAATGGTGGTGAAAACAAGACTTTTGCATAAATCCGTGATTCATTCTGTTCTTTACAGCCAATCTAGCTAACTGCTCTCACAGTCATTACCCTTGCATCAAAGTAGGATAAAACCGTTTTTTTCTCATTTAAAAATTGTAGTCTTCATGAAAGACATTCTCCAGATGGTCAGTTCAAAAGCTCTGTGTGTATCTTGTGATTTTTCTTTTACAGTTAAAAAGATATCTACAGACATTGTACAGTACATGGTAGAAGGCTGCCAAGCAGGGTCAGGAGAACGTGCCACCCAGCTGACTTCTGTATTTAGGTAACAAGAAAATATGCCAACTGGCAGTGAAGCTGCTGCAAGCCAATTGACAGCAAACATGTTTTTGTAAAATAACTAATTATCCTTAACATACTGCATTGTCACTTGTTTATGGTATTTAAATAGTGGTGCTTTTGGCACTGGTTTTAAACATAGCTTAGCCAAAAAGCCAGAGAAAAAAAGGAGAAGAAATAAACATTACCTGCTTTCTGATGGATTAGGCACTGTTTTGAAAGGTATAGAAGAGAGATATATTGCTGCTGCAATGGGAAAACCTCCTCATGAATGGGGATGGTCAGTGCGAGGTGCGGTGACAGATGCGCGTGCCCAATTTGAAGTGTCTGTAACAGAGATCAAATCCTCGTACAACAAGCTTAGCTCTTTTTTTTGATTGATTCGATTTTGTGACAAATTAATTTACATTAGAATAATCTATTATTTTACTTCCTGCATACCTCTGCAAAATGAGCCCTGTTTCTCACATGGATACAGTAGAACCACCGCATGGTCTGAGACCTGAAGACATTTTGCAAACCTCAGCACTGGTGCTGTGTTGGGTCACGTCTCGCTGAAAGCTCCAGCGAGACTCGCTGAAATCGGGATGGATGTCCGAGGGCATGCCAGTCTCCCTGTGCGTGACATATCGCTTCCATAGGATGCTTCATCCCTAGGGCATTACTTCTGAGTCGAATGTCATCTGTGATCTTTACAGGCCTCAAACTCTCAGCAAGACAAATGGGTGCGCTTCCAGCCCATGGTCTGCCCTGCTTAAGGTCCACCAGAGCTTTATAAGGAATGCCAACGCTGTTTTTGCAGACTTGAATCCAGATCTCTTATTTTGCTGGTCTTTTTTTTTCTCACCTATTATTTTTTATTGAATAATGATTACATGTTGTAGTTCTGCATTTAGACACAGTACAAAGTAAAGTGCTCTGGAACAAGTCAGCCCTGGTGAAGCAGCAGCAGAACCTGACAATTTGTTCAAAAATAAACGTGGGATTTTTAGCATTAGCCTTCAAAAGCATGGCTTCCTTTAGAGAAAGTATTCCATGTAGAGTATTTCCGTGGAACAATATGAAAATTGCCATGCAGCCAGATTGCTTGTTCTGATTAGACTCTTCGGTTGTTCTTGGCATGCTCTCTGCATCTCGTTTTGACCTTGCGCTCAATGCCTCTGTGTGCCCCTCAGGCAGTTTATCCAGGACTATACTGCCGTGTATGATCACCGGGTTTTCAGCATACTAGAAACGGTGGCGGTCTTGGATCAGACGTTGGTTACCAGCCTGATTCCCACAATCACACAGTCTCTGAAGGATTCTGAGCACAAACAAGGTCTTGGAAGAAATGCTGCACAGAGGTTTGATTTTTATTTGTTTTTTGACTGTGAGCAGTAGAGGTTTATTCTCTTGAAAGAAAGCAATGTTAGGCAGCAGCACAGATGCTCAAAAATGAGTAATTTTTAACTGTCCAGCCAGAAGTCTCCCTTCGCTCAGGCCTTTCATGGTTTTAAGCCATGTATCCTTGCTAAATATTTTCAGAGATGTTTTGCTATTAGGGCTACAGACGTCAGAAGAATTTACGCGAAGCCCGATTGCCTCTGCTCACTACACTGTGTTGCAAAACAGAATCAAGAATTCCTGCCCCAAAGAATTTTCCTTTCGGTCCCTGTTGTAGTGGACTTTGTGGGTCATATCTAAAATTATGGCATAATTAGGTATGATCTGAGATGCTTGGAGAAGAAACACCCATGGATTAATTTCAAGAGTTGTCTTATAATATAAAAGCACGAGGCTTGCGGGTGTCCAGGAACGGCCGGCCGCCTCTCCCCGACAGGCACCGCAGGCTCACGCTGGCTCCCTTTGCCCCCAAGAACTTCAGTCAGAAATATATGACCTGTGAATCCATTGGACATTAGGAGGAACCGTCCTGCGGGGCTGGGCAAGGAGCTGGCATCGCTCGGCGTTTCGCTGACGCACACGCTGCGGCTACGCAGCGCGTAGGGTCCTGGTCACGCCTCAGGCTGGAGAAGTTTCGAGGCGCACGGGGGCAGGGCCTGGGCTGTAAAAACCCAGAAGCCAGAGTTGCGTAAGAATATCGCTCATGAGAAGGTAGTCAACGGGTGTTAATGTTCCATTTAATGAAAAATGTATTTAACTCGTTTGTAATTATATTATTCACTTTTTATTATCCTCTACCAACAAATACATTTACTTTTATTTAAGGGAATTCACCCAAGGGCAGACTGAAGTAGAATTATATGCAGGAATTTCATACTACCTGCTTTTAATCTTTCGATAATGTATTTCATAGCCAATTTTCATATTTTTTTATACTGTTGTTACGGTAAAATTCATCCCTTTATCTAAAAAATATGAAAAGAAGGCAAGTTGTTTGAGCTTCCTGTGAAGAGCTAAATTTCTTTTAGCTTCATCACTTAACATTATATGTTTTCTGTTGTGGATGTTTTGTATTAATAATTGGTATTTAGAATGTGCTCCGTTACCCATCAGTCTAAGGTGATCCATGAGCATTTTATTGTAAGAACACTAATAACCGATTTCCTCCCGTCACTCCTGGCCACTAAATAACATTATATTAACATGTTCTGTGCAGTTATTGTAGACGTGAAAGTGCAAACCCATACACATAAAAGAAACAAAGTTCAGAAGTTGCATTAAATGCTTACAGTGGTGACACCCAGTGTTGTTATTGCAAGGAACTAGTATGAAAACTGCAGTGGCGTTTGCTCAAGTTAATATTTCATGAAAAAGATATATAATTAGAATAGACCTAAATGTCAGAGGCAGTACTTTAACAATAATTATATTGTCTTGGTTGGAGAGTATTAGAATGAACTTAAGGTGAAAAGTCTCATCAACACATACGCACTCTTCTGGAAAATCCACTTGAGTGACAGTCCCCTTCTGAATTCCAGGTTTATTTTAAACCAGTCATTGCCCTTTGTCGAGGAGGACGGTCTAAATCTGCGTCAGTGCCGCTCTGCACCCTGGTGCCAGTGGCTCACAGCACTCTGCCGGAGCATGACTCACAGTGAGATTTCTTATGCAGAAATCAGACAGCAAAGATGATGAAGTCTGAATGCCAATCTCATCTAAGCCTTGGAAGATCCACGTTTTAAAATTAAATATATATATAATATATATTTTTCACAGCATTTTACTAAACAAGTAGACTTCTAAACATGTTCACTACGCTTGTAGCCATAAACAATGAAATCCTTATTCTTCTTCCAGCCTGGCCATGCTAAAAATTCACAAATTCACAGCAAACAAAGCAGTTGAATAGCTGGAGGGCGGGAGGAGAAGCTACTGTGTTTTAATATCCCAATATGTAAACAATGTGTTTGGGAATTGTGTGCTTTTAATCCTAGGATGTGTGAGATTGTTTAAGTAACATGTTCCATTCTTTTGTTTTTTTCCAACAGAGAAGCCTATAAAAGACTCTTATCTTACCTCGCAGAGGCTGGGCGAAATGAGATACAAAAACTGGAAAATGAGACAGGTTAGCAGGGTGCTGGTGATTAATCGTTCCCTCTCGGATGTTCTGACACTGTCGATACCTAGAACCGCACGCTACGACACACTCACCAAGTTCTTCTTTACAATGGCAATACGGGGGGGGGGGGGGGGGTGCCCCAACATTT